TGGCATATAGCGGATGCTTAAGAACAACTTTTGAAATGAAAGATATGGCTGCATCTTGGAGGCTATATCTGTAAGGTGTATGCCAAAGGATTTGGCAAATAGACTAAGTAATGAACCATCTTCCACGGCTGCATGAGCATGAATGGAAACATGACTTGATGACTACTCTGAGCAGTAATTTTAAACTCACAGGTGTGGAGTCCTCACCCCAGAAAAGTAATTTTTTACACAGAAAGGGGAGTTCTGAGCACCTAAGGGTCCCTATCAATATTGGAAACATTGGAGCAAATCCATGACTAGTCCTGTCACACTAAATTCTAACTTCATGACCTTCAGGCTCTTTTTTAAAATTCTTTTTTTCTGTAATCCTCTAAGAATAACTTTTGGTGACTTGGCCCTGAGACTCCTTCTCCTGGTTCACACTGGAAAAGCCTTTGTGTAGTAAAGACTTTTACTACAGGATCCCCGGGATTGGGATCCTGGCGAATATGCTTCTTCTCTCAGCCTGTGCTTCCACATCCTGCTCTGGCCGTGCACTCAGGTCCATACTCTTGATTTTCACCAACATGGTTGTACCAACTTCTTGGTTCTTCTCTTCAAGGGGATCCCCCACATGATATTTATGTGGGGAATGACACACATCCTAGACAACACTGGGTGTAAATTTGTCTATTATATCCTTAGAATGGCCCAAGGCCTTTCTCTCTGCATCACTTGCCTCTTGAGCAATGCTCAGGCAGTAACCATCAGCCTCAGAACGGCTAGGTGGATGCAGCTCAAGGACAGAGCTTGGAAGAACATTGGTTCTTCCCGCTTCCTATGTTGGATCTCTAACCTGCTGATAAACATCTTTATTCCTATACAACTAGAGGCTTGTCAACAAACTCACAATTCTACCAAGATATGGGATTATGGATTGTGCTTTTCTAAAAATCCTACATCTATTTCTGCTGCAAAATACACACTTGTAATGACTTTATCAGATGTTGTATTCATGGCGCTTATGACTGGGGCCAGTGTTTACATGGTACTTCTTCTACAGAGACATCATCTGAGAGAAAGGCATATTCCCTATCAGAAATGCCCATAGATTCTCCCAAGTCAAAAGCCACTCAAACTGTCCTTTTCCTAGCAAGCACCTTCATTTGTTTTACTTCACCGATTCTATCCTCACAATTTATAATATTGCTTTTTTCAAATCTCACATCTGGATTCAGCACACCACCCCCTTTCTGAAAGCATGTTACCCTACCCTAAGCCCCCTGATATTATTGCTTCAAGATCCCCGAACATCAAGATTCTGCTCTTAAATGGTGATTAAAAAAAAAAATCCTGAATTACTTGTGGTGGCATCCACAAGTTTCTCTTTTCTTCAAAGAGTCTGGTTATTCACTGATCAAGCAAGGATATATTGATGTCTAGAAGACAACAGACATACAACTGGCATACTGATGAAAGACTTGTATGACATTGACTTAAATGTGTAGGCATTTTCAGCTACACTCAGATGGCAGTCAATCAAATAAACACAATTCTGCACATGTTAACATTGTCTTGATGCTTTGTGTTTTTTCTTTGAAATCTTTGATGGATGCATGGAAGTGGAGTTGGACAGAAGTAATTTTGGGACACATTGGAATTTAGAATGGTTTATTAGGGTAATTATTAAATTGGATGAAGCATTTTGTATAGATAAAGTGTAATGGTTTTGTGTGCCAATGACCCATGGGAAGCAGTTTAATCACTATAGACTTAGGGTATTTACTTGTAAAATTAATAGATTGTATCCTAGTAGATTATTGTGCAAAAATAAACGAGAGGATGAGGTCAGGTTTCCAAAGCAGCACATTGAGTGACTTTGTAAATCTACCTTTCCATAAAAATAACATAAATGCCAGCAAGATTATCAAAGTTAACTTTTCTGTAACTCTGGTAAGTAACCAAAACCTTACAACAGTCTAAAGAGTATTTAGTCAAGAAAAAAGTTTGGGCCATGGTTGGTGTGGCTCAGTGGACTGAATGTTGGCCTGTGAACTGAAAGGTTGCCTGTCGATTCCCAGTCAGGGCACATGCCTGGGTTGTAGGCCAGGTCCCTGGTTGGGGGTGTGTGAGAGGCAACCTATTGATGTTTCTCTCTCACATCCATGTTTCTCTCCCTCCCTTTCCCCCTCCTTTCCTCTCTCTGTAAAGAAATAAATAAAAGCTTAAAAAATGGCCCTGGCTGGTATGGCTCAGTTGGCTGCAGCATCTCCCTGTATACCAAAGAGTTGTGGGTTCTATTCCCAGTAAGGACACATACCCAGGTTGCAGGTTCAATTCCTGGTTGGGGTTGTATGAGAAGGCAGCCAATCAATGTTTCTCTCTCATGTCGATATTTCTCTCTTTTTCTTTCTCTCTCTCTGAAAAATGTCCTTGGGTGAGGATAAAGGGAGAAAAAAAGAAAGAAAAATATTTGAAACTCAGTAACTGTAGAGTATATAGAGTTTTCATCCTGTTTACTCCCATCCCTGTCTCCCCAGCTCTGCACTAGCAATGGAAAAAAAAAAAAAAAAAAATGGATGCCTCACAAGTATAGTAGCCATAAAAACCAGTTTTTAAGAACAATCAATTTAAATTTTTAACTCTGCAGTAGCCTAAGGCTGTAATACAAACTGGTGTAAACAAAAGCCCAGCCAAAAGTTTTAAAAGGAAAGTCTGAAGTATAAGATGTTCACAAGAAGCTATTAAACACTGACATATTCCTGAGGATCCAGAGGCTGCATACATTCACAGGGATGTGTCTATGCCGAGGAAATACCTGAAGGGCACCAATAATTCACCTCTTGGTGATCTTAAAAGGTAGACTTGCAGAGTGTCCGAGCATTGAAGTAGGGCCTCAACACACACACAACATATTCCTTGGCAAAGGGTAGAAAACTTACTGACTCAAGGGCATAAGAAAATTTCTGATCAACCATTAGCTAACCAAGAAGACACTTCAGGAACTACACATTATGGGAATACAAAATGTACAGAACTAGTCCAGCAATGTTACTAAACAAACAACAGAACAGCAACAAGCCCCAGGAAGAAGGAGAATCTGATACTCAGTGTAGTAACATATTGTCTGAAATATATAGCCTTGACAAAAATTTGTGATAAACAAAGAATCAGAAAAGTTTGGCTCATATGCAGGAAAAAAAAAGCAGTTCATTGCCCCTTAGGGAACTTGTAAGTCAACTTTACTTCACAAAGACTTTAAATCAGCTATTATGAATATGCTCAAGGAACTAAAATAAGTCATTTTTAGAGAATTAAAGGATGGTATGATAATGTTTCATCAAAGGAACTTGTGGCAGAGGTCAACCTTATTACACTGATTGTCTGCTTGGTGTCCTCAGGGCTTATTTGTGGGGATTTCTGAGGCAGTGGAGAAATATAAAGTTTTAAAAATTTACAATATAATAATTAAAGAAAAACTATTAGAATTAATAAGTTTATCCAGTTTGCTTGATATAATATCAATACACAAGTTAACTGTATTTCTACCACCAACAAAGAGTGAAACAATGAAATTATAAAATATCATTTACAAGAGCATTAGAGATATCAAGTATCATGAAATTAATCTAATAAAATTTACAGGACTTATAAGGAACATCAATTTTATTCAGAGATATTAAAGACCTAAATAGAGTGCTACGCATGGTTTATGGATTTTAATACTTCATATTGTAAAGGTGTCGTTACTCAAAATGATTTACAGATTCAGTGCAGTCCCAATACGAATTCCTGACACTTTTTTTTTCTGGTGGAAGTTGACAAGGTAAGGTAAAATTTTATTTGCAAATATAAAGGCCCAAAAGAACAAAGATACTTTTGTAGAAAAACAATATGGTAGAAGGCCTTGCTCAGGTTATAAAACTTAGAAAGATCCCACAAGTAAAACATAGTATTGGCCTAGGAATAAAAAACAGATCTATGGAAGTGAACTTTTGAGATCAGAGTCATACAGATAGGGATATTTGATTTATGGTAGAGATAGCACTACCAAGCAGTAGATAAAGAGACTGACATTAAATTATACTTCCGGAATAATTATACATACCTAGTAAAAAGATGACCACTCCTTCATAGTAGTCACAGAAACAAATGACTGGGGGATTATTATTAACTTTTTTTTTTAAATGTATCTCAGTTTATCTTGTAACAGAAGAAACAAGTACTATTTTCTTGCCCTGCGCTGTGGTTTCCATTGTCTACACCACAACCATTTTTGCCCCGTGGAACCCCTCACTGTGTCTCATCAGGAAACGCACGTCCAGAGCGCTCTCCTCCTACCACCTCTGCTCCACATCCAGTTCCAGTCTCCTAATCCCCACTTTTCAAACGTGTTACCGGCATTTTACCTCTTAATGTTCCCCAGTTCTCGGCCCCAAGACCGTTTGTTACTGTACGAACCCAGAGGTTGGCAATATGGCCGCGTCTTTCCTGCATTTTCAAAACAGCTATGAAACTGCCTGGGCGCGGCCATTTTTTGCTGAGGCCTGACCTGTGATTGGTTTAGATTTTGGGTCCTGTCGGAAGACGTCGGCCAAGAGCGCTGAAATGCGACTAAGCATGCGCTCTGGTTTTGACAGCCGCTGTGGATTTAGAAGAACCGAAGCGGAGAATTCCTGAAGAGAAGAGAAAGGATCTGTTGAGTCTCCTCGTGTTCGGCCTGGTGGACGAAATCCGGTTGCCTATATTGGCCTGCTCGCTCTCCGTACGGCGCTCAATCCATGATGGCGGAACCGAATCAAAGATGGTCCCTCTCACGTAGTGTAACGAAACGGCGCGGCCATATTGCCCAGCGGTATTTTCAAAAGGGAACAAAATCAGAGTTTGTAGGTAGGTCGCTCACTTCCACAGTGCTACCGAGTCTGCGTAATAGCACGAGACGCGGACCAGCCAAACTTGGGATCAGAAGCGGAAGTGGCGTGTCGAAGCTTGACTTCCTCAGGTAAGGTCACAATTCTCATTTGAGTGTACGTTCTATTTCTGCGAGCGTCTGTGAGAAACCGGCGCCGTGGGAATTCGGTGACATGAGACGTCGTTTGTGATGGGTATTCATGCGTGGCGGGGGTGGGGCTGTTTTTTAAGACGGGTTCGTGATTGTTGGGGTCGTTGTGGGTGGTTTGCCCGGCGTCAGTGTTCAGGGGAGTGGGTTGAGGAAGCAACGAGAGACCATTGCTGTTGACAGTGGCAGGTCAGATGCGGATAGTGGAGAGAGGCGTTGGAGAATCACTGGCCGAGGGGCCCATGGGATATGGTCAGTGAGGGCACGGATGGGTGGTTAGTCATCTGGGATTCTCGTGGTCTTAGTTGGAACATCCGAGGGGCCGTGGTCCACGTGAAAATAGGTTTCTGGGGAGCTGTGAATGGGTGCGGCAGGGGAGTAGTTAGGGTACGGGGTGGCGAGTAGTTAGGGTATCCTTGGGAGAGGTTGGTCAGGTCGGAACATAAGGAGGCCTCAGGTGCACAGATTTTGGGTGTATACTATAAACGTTGGGGTATCGTTTCCCAACATTTTATACCGAAAAATTTCAAGTGTACAGAAAAGTGGAAAGAACAGTAAAATGATCACCTTTACACTCGCCCCGTAGATCCACGAATTGTTAAAGGTGTGCCGTAAATACTTGGAATGTGTCAGCTACGGTACACGTGTGTTTATATGCACTTGAAGTCAAATTTGTTATAGCTTTCTATGTCAGTTCTGCCACTGGTTTGTGTGACTTTGGGTAAGGTACCAAGTTCTTTAAATCTCACTTTCCCGATTTAAACAAATGATATCTACCTCACAGGTCCTCGGGAGCCCTACCGGCATGACCTCGGCTAACTCTTAATTACCTGCAAAGCCTCCATTGCCAAATAACGACACAGTGAGGATTAGTGCTTCAACATATGAATTTAGGGTGCACAATATTAAGTCTGTAACAGGTAGGTACTTGATGAAAAACTATTCAAATATATATCTTTCTAATGGGAGGTTTCCTATTTAAAACAAATCTGTTAACTTATTTTTATCATAGGTGTTTTATAATCTCTATATGAGTTTATGCTTGATATTAAATGGAGCTCTCTAATTTTTCATCACAGTATTACTGTTTGCTTGTCATCAATAAGTAGCAGAGAATAAAAATCACCTTCAATTTACTAACTGTAAGCTATCTGTAGTGTTTTGAAATATATTTTTAAACCGAGTTATGTATTATGGATAGTTTTCCTTTTATAACTTTAAAAGGAGGTCAGATCCAATGCATATTTTGTAGGCTTCTGATTTAGTTTTACAGAACGTCACCAATGATGTTCTGTTATATAATACTTCCACATACAGCGTGCCAGATTTTTCTACACCTTTGGCGACAGTGGGCACATCATCCTTCGTTTCTTTTCTAATATGATAGCCCAGTTTGGCTTGTTGACCGTCTTTTGGGTATGAGAAGTGTCTCATTGTGGTCTCCGTAGGCATTGCTCTTGTTACTAACATGGTTTATCATTTTTTAAGTATGTTCATTGGCCAATTTTAAACCTGAGAAGTTTGTTTTTTTTTCTTTACTCATTTTTAGAAAATAGCCACATATTGGGAATAGTAGTTTTTTGTTATTTATTTTATACTAAACAATTTTGCCTTTGTTACCAGTTCCTGGGAAGTAGCCCCTAAATTGTTAGAATGTCCTGAATGATAGGAGTGTGTGTTATTCGTGGTGGACCTTGATAAAGGTGCTAACAAGGTAACACATGGTCTGTAGGTAGGTACTTTACGCTAATGAGATGACTCAGGATGGGCCTGCTTATTCCAGAAGGACCAATCACGGAGATTAGAGGCTTGGGGCTGTGAGCCAGGCAATATCAGTCCAGCCTTCAAGAGGGTAGAGTTGCTGCAGGATGAGTCACCTGTCCGGTGATTATTTAACCATGCTCATTTAATGGAACACTAATAAGAACGATGGACAGTGAAGCTCTGGTGAGTTTTCTTTGGTTGGCAGTACCCCACATATTATTTCACCCAGAGATGCTGGATGAGTTAATGTGTCCTGACTCCAAGGGCAAAGGACAGTGGAAGCTTCTGGTTTGAGTCTCTCCATTAAACTGGCTATGATCTGTATCCTTTTGCTATAATAATAAAAGTCTAATTTTGTACATTTTCCCTTCAGGAACCTAGTAAGTTTTGTTGTTATTGTAAATAGTGTTTTTTTTTTCTTTTAAGTTAATTTGTTGTTTGAACGTGAAATTTCAGTTAATACTTCTATTGCTCTTAAAGCAGTTGAATGATGACAGTTTTGCTTGTTCTTTTGCAATCTTTATTCCTTCAGTTTATTTTTCCCATTTTGCTGGTCAGAGTTTGATCCGTGGTACATTTTCAGGTAAAGATTTTGAGAGTGGTTGTCATTGTCATGTCCCTAAGCTTAAAGAAATGCTGTGGATTTTTTGGTACTCTTTATCAAGTTCTTGTCTATTTCTAGTTAAGTAAGGTTTTTAAAATTTATGAGTGGCTATGCTATTTTATCACTAGTCTTTTCTTCATCTACTGAGATAATTAATTGGTTCTTATTACACTGTTCCTTCATTCCTTAAATAAAATTAACTGTGCATTGTAGAATTCTTCCTAGGTATCAGTGGATATGGTTTCCTAATTTATTTAGGGTTTTTATAGTCAAGTTCATAAATGAGATTAGCCTATAAATTTATTTCTCATTCTCCTTGAAATCTAGGTCTGTTTTCTTTAGTTCTTTTGCTTCTTTGCACATCTGGTAGTTTTTGATTGCATGTCAAATATTGTCAGTTTTACATTGTTGTTTGAGGAATTTTCTCGTATTCCTTTAACTACTTTTGAGGTTTGCTCTGGATCATAGTTAAGTTACTTTAAACAGTTTGATTCTTTTTTTTTGGCAGTGTAGGGGGACATTTTTATGAGTTTCTGTAGCCAAAGTGACAACATATGCCAGGGAGCAAGATCAAATACTCCCGAAAATAACAGTTTAGCAGCTCAGTTTGATCTTTGGAGGCTTTTTTTTTGTTTTTTTTTAGCTTTGTTAAGTCGGGGAAAAGAGTCTTTTGTCTGGGGTTACTTTGTCTCTGCTAGTGAGACAATACTTGGCTGAGAACTCTGATGTCTCTGTGTATCTTTCCATCCTGGCTAGTGAGGACACATGCCATTCCTGACCTTCTGTAAGCTCCAGGAGTTGTTAGGCCTGCTTCTTTCCAGTGTCCTTCTCCCAGTTCATTAGTAGTTGGCCAGAGAGTTAAGGGAACCCTCTGTACATCTAAAGAGTGAATTATCTCTCCTTCTCTCCCTCCCATTTCTCCATTCCCTCCCTTCCTTCTCTTACTCCCTTTTTGTCTTCCTCCGTCCTTCCCTCTCTCTCCCTCTCTCACTTTACCCTGGTGCACAACCTGGCAAACTTAACGACCTTTGCTTCATCATACTTTGAATTCTGTGTCATTAACTCAGCAAGACTTTAGACCTTTTTTGGGCCCCTTCTTGTGTTGTGGCCTGAAAAGTCTTTGCAGGCAGTGAGCTGCAGCCTACAAGGGTCTTACCTTCTTAGTTTCTCCTCTTCTGTGATTTCTGTGTTTGAAAATAGTTGTTCTAGGTATTTTTCCTAATTTTTTTAAAAGTTGATTAAAATGAAGAATAATTCTAGTAATTGTCCCTGGAATTAGAGGATTTATTGAGTTTGAGGGTTTGTATTTTATTCACGCTCCATGAATTACTACTTGTGTGGCCTTTGGCTAAGTGCTGGTCTTTTTCTTTCTTGGTTTAGTCTGACGTGGAATAATTATAGTCTGTACCTCATTGGGTTGTTTTGAGGGTTAAGTGAGAAAACAAGGTGCTTTAAACAGTTCATTGCTTGTATAGGAACTTGTTCTTATTATTTTCATGCCAAACAAATCTTTCCTTGACTCCGTAGATGCTGGCTTCCTAAAATGAGCAGTTTCTGTAAGTGAAAAAAAGTAGATCCCAGTCTGGAAAGTATTCCTTGCTGAGGCTACCCTTGATGAGACACCAATATCAGGATTTCAGAAAAGATACTAAAAGTTGTGGCCATTTCCTGAAAGCTGCTGAAATGACTAAGTCCCAGGTGAGCTTGTTATTTCCCAGTTTGTTATCCAGGAGATTTCTGGAAGTTTATAAAAATGATATGATCGAAGAGAACAATATATATAGACACAGTGCAGCAGGGAGATATGTGCTTGGACTGGGAGATGGAGTAAATGATTCAGAGTTGCCATCAGAAAGAAAGATATATCTGCTTGTCACAATGCTAATAATTAGAATATTGCCAGATAAGCAGCAGGATCCAGAACTGATTTGCATACTTTTCTATGATGATACTGGAAACTATCACAAAAGTCTAAAAACATGTTACATGATTTACTTTGTATATATGGAGGAAGCACATGTATTCCTTGAGATCAGTAAATATTTCCTGGACATTAAGTGTGAAGAAATGTGTTTGATGTGTCGTCCTCTTCCATTTTTCTGATCCAGAATATAAGCCTAGTGAACACTCATTTTCCTAAGGAAATGTGGGAGCTACACAAGGCACAGCTAGAAAACTTTTAAAATCTCTTCTTACCTATAAAAAACTAGATAATCTTACATAAAAGTTGTTATACAGATCATTGTGTTAATATATGTAAAATGTTTAGAATGATACAGAGCACATAGTAAGAGCTCTGTGTTTGCTTGTGAGTATCATGATTTAATATGTAGAACAATCAATTTCTAACAAGCAGTCCTGCAAATAACATACTTTCATATATGAACAGCACCGCAGTGGCTACTGAGTATCTGCAGGAAATGTGTACTCTTGCTCCAAGGCCAGTTTCTGCCTGCTACCTAGGCATCTCTTCTCATCAACTGCTTCTCCTATCTCACTGAATTATTTGCAGAACCAAATAGATCAGAAACTATATGACACAGGACCATGCTTTATTTCCTTTTTTTTTTAAATTGCAAAATATGTAGTAGATAACATTCAATGCTCCTAAGCTGGGTTGCAGATGGTTTTTAGGTAATTGAAAGTTTTAACATTTTATGTTGGGTGAATGAATGAAGAAGTGAATGAAGATTGTACAAAGGGAGGAAAGTTTTAACGAACTTAGTCAAAAACTGTAAATCAAAACTATATACAGAGTAATATTTATGTTTTCTTAGTATAAATAATTAGAATATCCTATATTTACTTTGAACTTTTTTCTATTATAATAACTCCAGACTAAAAAGTATTGTGTTACAACAGGGCATGTTGTCATTCAGTGATGTGGCTGTATATTTCACCTGGGAAGAGTGGCAGCTACTAGACACTGCTCAGAAGAATCTATACCGGGATGTGATGTTGGAAAATCATAGCAATCTAATGTCATTGGGTAAAGACAACTTTCCTAAATATCCCAGCCTTAGCTCATTAATTGCCTGTCTTTTTCCATTGCTATAATTTATGGGTACTCTGATATTCTCAGTGATTTTGTACTGGGACTTAAATAGAACTTATTTTGTTTATGATCAGACAGTGACAGTACTTAATTTTGTTTCCAAATGAAAAATTTTAATTTTGCTGAGATTTAAATTTATATAGTCTCTGGGGCCCTGGCTGGTGTGGCTCAGTGGATTGGGTGCAGGTTTGCAAGCCAGGGGGTCGCTGGTTCAGTTCTCGGTTGGGGTGCATGACTGGGTTACAGGCCGGGTCCCTGGTGGAGGTGTGTGGGGGACAGCCACATGCAGATGTTTCTCTCCCTCTCTTTCTCCCTCCTTTCCCCTCTCTATAAAAATAAATAAATAAAAATCTTAAAAAAAATTATGTAGTCTCTGGGCCTGAGGGAGTAGGGTGTGGGGGCTGAATGGAGGTGGGCCAAGGGGGCAACAACTGCAATAGTGTAAATAATAAAAAAGTAAAGAAAAAAATAAAAGAAAAAATCAAAGCCCCCTCCCCCCAAAAGAGAGAAATACCCCACATAAAAATATTTGGAGTTAAAAATAAGTAAATAAATTATACATTCTCTGAAACAGAACTTTTTCACAGGCCCTAATACTGCTCAGGTTCTCTGTGATTACCCATTGACAGGTTGTCAGGCTACCAAGCCTGAAGCAGTGGTCTGCTTGGAAAAAGAAGAACAAGGAATTGTAGAGAGGGTGTTTCCAAGTCATTTTAGTCCAGGTGAGTGAAACCAATGCAGTGGGAGTTAGTGGAAGCAAAGTAACATTTGGTCATTGGTGTAGGAACCTTGTCATTCTAATATTTTTTAGTCTCTGAACTTTTAGATATAACTTAGAGTGAGTAAAAAGAGGCCTTTTGTATGAATGTTGCCTGCTTCTATTACCACCCTCGCATATATGACTGTCTTTTTTAGCCACCCAGGAGGTGTACCTCCTTCTATGTACTGTGGGTCAGATCTTTGCCTATTTCATTTGGTCTTTATTTGCTTAGTTGTTCTTCTATTGAAGCTTGTTAAACACAACCAGCCTCCTCCACCTTTTATCCATATTCACATACCTCTTATATCATGCTTTCAAATATTCATAGATTTATTCCAAAGTTTGATGACACCCATATCCTTCAGTTCATTGCTCATTACAGTTACTTTTATTGAAAGCCTGAGACTTATATTGTGTACCTGCTACATCACTTTCTTCATTCTCTTTGAATATTGATTTGAGAGTCCATCACCCTCCATTTCATGATAATGGTAGAATTCATTGATTTTTTTTCCCCTTAGAAGTAATGTGGCAAGTTTGTGATTGGTATCAGGAAGACATTGAGAAGGATGAACCTGTGGAGAGAGATCGTGAAAATAATGCATTGGGAAAAATATTTTCTGATAGCAAAAATTTTGTTCCATTTATAGAAAAACCCAATAAATGTACCTCAAGAGGAGTAACTTTGAAACGAGACTTAAATTTTCAGAGTAAAGACTATGCAGACATGAACTCTAATGAGTTAAATGGTTCTGGGAAATTGTTTTTCTATACTCTACGCGAAACCTCTAACATTCATGCCCAGTACTATGAACCGAATTTACATGTAAAAGCTTTCAGCCTTGGGACAAATCCTAAAAGACATCACAGAATTCACACAGAGGAGAAACATGAATGCAGTGAATGTCTCAAATCTTTCAGGTATAAGTCAAAGCTCATAATACACCAGAGAACTCATACAGGAGAGAAACCCTATGAATGCAAAGAATGTGGAAAAGCTTACAGGGAGAAGACGAAGCTCAGATTACATTGCAAAACTCACACAGGAGAGAAACCTTTTGAGTGTAGTGATTGTGGGAAAGGTTTTATGCAGAAGTCAAACCTGATTATCCATCAACGAATTCATACAGGAGAGAAACCCTATGGATGTAGAGAATGTGGAAAGGCCTTCTGTGGAAAGTCTCAGCTTGTTGTTCACCAACGAATTCATACAGAAGAAAAATACTATGAATGCAGGGAATGTGGGATGGCCTTCAATAAAAATTCACACCTCATAACACATCAGAGAATTCACAAAGGAGAAAAACCTTATAAATGCTGTGAATGTGGAAAGGCTTTTGTATATGCATCACAGCTTATTGTCCATCAGAGAACTCATACAGGAAGAAAACCTTATGAATGCAAGGAATGTGGGAAAGCCTTTAACAAAAAGTCACACCTCATAAGACATCAGAGAATCCATACGGGAGAGAAGCCATATGAATGCAGTGAATGTGGAAAAGCTTTTATAGACAACTCACATCTTATTGTACATCGAAGAACTCATACAGGAGAGAAGCCTTATGAATGCAGGGAATGTAGGAAAGCCTTTAATAAAAAGTCATCCCTCATAACACATCAGAGAATTCATACAGGAGAGAAGCCTTATGAATGCAGTGAGTGCAGAAAAGCTTTTATAGATAAGTCACATCTCATTGTCCATCAGAGAACTCATACAGGCGAAAAACCCTATGAATGCAGTGAATGTGGAAAAGCTTTTATAGACAACTCACAGCTTATTGTTCATCAAAGAACTCATACAGGAGAGAAGCCTTTTGAATGCAGGGAATGTAGGAAAGCCTTTAGTTATAAGTCATCCCTCATGGCCCATCAAAGAATTCATACAGGAGAGAGGCCTTATGAATGCAGTGAATGTAGGAAAGCTTTTATATACAAGTCACATCTTATTGTCCACCAGAGGACTCATACAGGAGAAAAACCCCATGAATGCAGTGAATGTGGAAAAGCTTTTGTACGAAAGGCAGTGCTCATTGTACATCAAAGGACACATACAAGGGAGAAGCCCTTTGTCTGTCTGGAATGCCAAAAAGCGTTCAGCAGTATGGCAATGCTCAGTACACATCAGTTGATTCACACAGGAGAGAAACCCCACGGGTGCAATGAATGTGGAAAAGCTTTCCGCCAAAAAAGCCATCTTATTATCCATCAACGATGCCATACTGGAGAGAAATCCTATGGATGCATACCATGTGGTCAAATCTTTAGCTAGAAGTCCTAGCTCATTACATACCAGTATGTCACACAAGAGAGAAACCATGTCAATGTGAGAAAACCTTTTTTTTCAGAAGTCATACCTCGGTGTCCTGCAGAGAAGTCATGCAGGACAAAATCCTTATCAATGTAATGAATGTGGGAAAACTTTACCTGTCAAGTAGTTTCTCACTTTGAATGAAGAAATTTATACAGAAATCTAAGAAACCTATTATGTGCTGGAAAGACTTTAGTGAGATGTCAAATCTCACTGAAAGAAGAGAATTTACACATAGAGACATCCTATGAATGCTCTCTGTGTGTAAGTTCTGATATTTTTCTACTATTTTCGACCTTTCTAATAAAGCTTCAGAAAACTTATCCAGGAGTGAAATCTTTTAAAGGCAGTGAATATACAAAAAGTATTTGCCACCAACATAACCTTATTTTATTAAACAAAGTCCGTGTGAATAAGTTGAAAAGTCAAAATAATTTCTTAAGGAGAGGAATACGATTGTGCACCACCCAAATGAAACCTTTCGAGTGCACAAATGTTTTTGATAGGTCATCATAAAATTTTCAGTTTTCACAGGAAAAATCTCATGAATGTTGTGAATCCTGGAAAACATTCTAAACAAATGAGTTTTCATACCAAAGAATGCAGATAACTGAATACTTGTGATAAGGAATGCCTCTGGCATTAAATTCAAACTTCCTGTGCATCAGACAATATTAAGAAGAATTAGTACAGTGTAATGATGGAAAAGTTTATTTGCATCTAAACAACTTTATAATAAAAATTCTAATCTTGTCACATTATTATGTATTTATAGAAAATGCACCACAAAGTAATCAATTGTGAAGAGCAGGTAACTTTACCAAGGCAGATAACACTGTTTCATGTTTGGATATACTGTATAGTCAAAGCAGTAAATTAAGAAAGGTCATTGATGTATGTATTTTGCTTTGTGTCTGAGTATTTTTGTAGAACATGTATATATTCATTTCCAGATTTAACAAAGTAAGGTTGTGTACCACCAAAAAAAAAATCATAAATTTTTGTATGTCATATTGCAAAGAAAGTAATTAGGTTTAAGATTGAATGAGACTATAACATAACCATACACACATATATTTACCGTTTACTCTTATATGTAAATGGAACTGGTATTTCTTTTCAGCCCTTTGGAATAAAAAAATTTTTAAACAAATTGTCTTGGTTGTCACTTAGGAAAAAAACACATATTAAAAATAATTATCTTTTAAAAAAAAGTCCTCACTTGAGGACATTTTTTCATTGCTTTTGGAGAGAGAAGGGAGAGAGGAAGGAAGTGAGGAGGCAAACATCAATGCGAGAGAGAGAAGCATCTATAGGTTGCCTTTTGTAGGTGCCCAGACTGGGATTTTTACATCCCTGGATTGGGATTGTATGTGCTGGACTAGGGGTCCTACATGCTTGTATCAGGGATTGAATTTGCAACCTAGGTATGTGCCCTGACTGGGAATCAAACCTGCGACCTTTCAGTTATAGGATGACATTCCCACAAACTGAACCACACTGGGCAAGGCAAAAATAATTGAATTTTAAGAGTGAATGGTAATCACAACTTTTTAAAGATGAGTCCTGAGAAACTGGAAGCAGCTGCTGTTTTCAAATAAATAAAGATTAACATGTTATCTTTGTTGGTGGTACTGCTTATATGAGGATCGTGGCTTAGACCCACAGCCAGATGTGCTTCCCACTCCTTTCCTCTCCAAAACCTAGTCTATTAGTTTTGTAGGGCTGCCATAGGTAAGTCCTATAAACAATAGCTTAAAACAACAGAAAATTCTGGAGGCTACAAGTCCAAAATCAAGGTGTCATTAGGGCCATTCTTCCTCTGAATCCTGTTGGAGAATTTTTCCTTGCCTCCCAGCTTCTGGTAGATTTGCTGGCAGTTTTTGGCATTCCTTAGCTTGATGGGGCACAAGTCTAATCTGTCTCCATCATTACATGGCATCCTTCCCATATGCCTCTGTACCTTCATATGGCCATCTTACAAAAAAACTAGTCATAATGGGTTAGTGGCCCACGCTAGTACATTATGACATCAACTAGTTGTGCCTGCAACTACTGTATTTCCAAATACAGTCACATTCTGAGGTACTGGAGGTTAGGACTTAAGTATACTTCTGTTGGAGGTAGGGTACATTGATTCTGGTACCAGTTTCATTGTGTTTGTTTCTGGGGAGGGAGTGGAGGTAGTTTCCCACACCAACAAATGATCCTCAGACACCAGCATGGTGTCCAAGAATTCATCTCTTTCTGATGCTGTCTGCCTGGAGGAAGCACCAGATTCCACAGTTTAGGGATTCTGTTCCACAAGACTGGCCCCTCTCTTCAGATGGCATCAATAGTCCCAGACTCTTAGCCATGCTTCTGACCAATGACTATAAATTGCAGGTTTTGCCCTGGCTGGTATGGCTCAGTGGATTGAGTGTGGCCTGTAAATCAAAGGATTGCTGGTTGGATACCCAGCGCATGCCTGGGTTGCAGGCCAGGCTGATATTTCCCTCTCTTTCTCCCTCCCTTCTCTGAAAATAAATAAAATCTTAAAAAAAATAAAAAAAGCTGCAGGTTTCAATGACCCCTTTCAACACAGAATGCCAATCACACATTTAAGTTATTACCTGTACTTCTGCCTGGCGGGCTATAAATTAGAGTTTTCCACAACTCCCTTATTTCATTAATGTGCTAAAGAACTCACATGTTACTTACTAGATTACCTTTTTTTTCTTTTGTAAAAGGATTTAATGCAGGAACAGACAGATGAAATACATAGGGCAATGTATATGGGGAGGGGTGTGAAGCCTTCATGCCCTCTCCAGGCATGCCACTCTCCCCATACCTCCATGTGTTCAATCTGGAAGCTCTCCGAACCTCTCTCTCAGGTTTTCATTGAAGCTTTGTTATATAGCCACAATTGATGACATCATTGCGATTGGCAACTGATTCAACCTCCAGCCCCTCTCCCCTCCTGGAGTTGGGGGTGCGTGGAACTGACAGTTCCAACCCTCTAATCACACAGTTGGCTCCCCTGGCAACCAACCCCCATCCTGGTGTTTTCTAAAAATCACCTCAATAACAAGACAAAAGACACTTTGAACACCTCAACACTTAAGAAATTCCAAAGGTTTGGGAAGCTGTGGCTCCAGAACTGTGGATGAAGACTATATATACAGAGTCTGGCAGAAGAAACGCCTGCTTGAGTGTGGTTGGTAGGGTAATAACGTGCGTGTACTTTATAGTTTTAATTTAAATATTTCACCTAAAATTTCATGTGATGTGCTAGTGTATGATATTGTTATGTTACAGAATTACATGCATATGTTTTGTAATAGAAGGGTATTATTTGTGTCAGACCCTCTATTTCTTATAAATCACAATAGTATGAGAGAACACAATTCATACAAAAACACCTAATACTTTGGATGTGTAGCTATAGAGATAGTCCTAGGTTCAGATTAGACACATCTAGCTAGGCAGTTACACTCATCATGCTTCCTAAGCGGAGACTGAGGGAGAATACCCTGCCTATAGGTGCCCTTGAGGCACACCCTGGATCTCGTAGTGATGGTGTTTACCACCATGACAGCAGATACAAGAGGAAACGTGCTGCTCTGCCAATAGGCTAACACAAACAGAAAAAGGAAGTTAGCGTAGACACCACAGACAAACTATTTGGATAACTCACAGATGGGACAGTTTACTCTGTCTCCTTTGGAGAGGAGAAGGTGAGGGTGCAGCAAAGTGTTCTTCCCAATTTAGTGGACATAGTTTATTTAATAAATTAATTATAAATTTGAGGAGATAGAGAAAATGTTCCAGCATATTCAAAAAGGGGGTGAGGCCATGCCAGTTATATTGAATGTCCAAGCTCATGGAATATATATCAGTACAATAAAATACTGAAAACAGGAAATAAGTGGCTGAGGGCCACCCTCCTCAAAAGGATACATGTCGCAAACCAGGTACACAAGCTAGTTGTGTAAGAATACACCTAGTATGTCCTTTCCAGTTATTCCTGTATCAATACCTGTATCAATGTATTGACTCTCAGACCCAATCTACCCCTTTTTAACCCTACTTAACAATGCTAGAGCTGGACCTTGTGGATGTCTCCTTTGTCAGTTGGTGCATTTGTAGGGTTATTAATAGTAGAAGGAGGGACATTATGTGGCGATAGCAAAGGGGTTGTTTCTCTTTATGGTTCTTGCATGCTTTTTTCTGAATGTGTGGCTACCAGCAGAGTGGCTGGCTGGAGTTCCCCTAACCTTCACTTCAGTGTTCCTCACTGATGAGTCCCATCTGTCCCATAGCCTTCAGTGAGCTTCTCCACTATCGTAGGGCTACATTTTGTGGATGAACTTTGCCCTACTGGTTAGTTTTACCAACCATTGACTACTCTCACCTGGTTCAGTGGTTACCATGATGGCTGCAAAATAATGATTTCTACTTATTCTGTATATATTTAATATTTGGAATTCTGTAAGGATGGGCTTTCCCCCCCCCCCATTTATTTGCTTGTTTGCTTATTTATTTAATGTCATTATGGGTTCAAGAGTTATTTTATTTACTGGTTTATCAACTTTGCTATCATTGTTTTGAACTAATAGTTCTCTAGTTTTGGCTAGTGCAAGTCCTGTCACCTTCGCTTGGGTGTGTTTTTGACATTTCCACCATTTTTTCAGCAGCTTGTTTGGTTCAATAATACTGTCTAGGCTGCTTTATTTTCCTTGCCTCAGTTACTGGAATCAGTGATTTCTCTAAGGAGCCCTAGGTTTTTAAGGTGCAGAGTTGTGTTTATTTTTTATTTATTTTTATTTTTTAAAGATTTTACTTATTCATTTTTAGAGAGTGGAGGGGAGAGAGAAAGAGAGGGAGAGAAACATCAATGTGTGGATGCAACTTACCCCCCCACCCCCACTGGGGACCTGACCTGCAAGCCAGGCATGTGCCCTGGCCTGGAGTCAAACCCA